TTGTTTGGCTAAAACGGTATTTTGTTGTTTAAGATAATTCCTTTCAATTTGGACTTTAAATGTACTTGTAAATTATTCTTAATAGATTAGTAAAAAAATTGGTATGTTCATCACTTCAATTAATATATTCAGAGAAATGTAATTTATTTATCACGCGATAGCAATTTAATAGCAAAACATCAATCAAAGAAGCAATCTAAATCCGTCATCGCGACAATAAAGATGGCGGTGGTAATTTGGAGCTCGCATTCAAAATAAGAACGTTGGTAATACAGAATATGGTTCCCCAGTCGACAGTTAGCGATGGTAGTGACATCACCTTGGCATTTTAATAACTAGCTTTTATTAGTCTTTACTCGCATGTTATTTCTACCTCATTCTTTATGATATTTTTGTGTCTTCAAATGTTACGCTAACCTTTTAAATTATATTGAAATTCATTTCTAAAGTATTTAAAAGCAAAAAACGCATCTGTAATATAAATAGTACGTAGAGCTATTATAATGTAAATTAGAAAAGGTAAACGGTCAGACCCTACGCATTCAGCTTTGTGGCCATTGAGTGGATGTAAACATACTAACATCTATTTTTAAGTAAATAAAGACATAAACATAAATTTACTTCTTCCAATGTGGGTTTATTGTTTTGAACGCGACAAAACTTTTTTTAGGTCGCTTTTAGCTAAATCTCATTCAATTTTGTGTGTGTATGGCACCATGTTTGGGGAAATTGCTATTACATTACAGTAATATATGAGAAATCTGTGTAATAAAATAAAAGAAACATAAATACTTTAGTTCAAATTATATTTTTTATATTAAGTATAATTTATGTATAAAATATGTGTTTGTTAAAGGATAAAGGTCTATATCTCATTGCATTTATTGTTCATTAAAAATTTACTTCCAAACTGCACATTTGAGAGCTATTTCAGAAATTCCCAAATGTACATTACCTTCCTAAACATAGAAGAACTAAAGTGGCACTTAGCCGCCTACACGCTGCATCACGAAAGCGATTTCCCGAAAACTCTTTGAACATTATCTATTGTGATATAGGAAAGATGTTGAACTCTATATTTTTATTTAGAACTCTCACATTTTTTATCTAACCACCAACGCAGTGCCCCCCCAATACGATGCGATATTGACAGAGTATCCTTTTGGGTTCATGATTTTACGGCCGCCGTTACTTATCTAATTTTATGGGAACAGGATATAAGTTTATACTTACTTTCTTTAAAAGCGCCTTTATATCATTTAGTATTCTGTTTGCTGTTGCCCTTGATTAGGCTAATTGATCCAGTATTGTTCATTAACTAAATCAAAAAGTAATCTTTTGTATATATGTATATCTGGAGAAGCTTAAAACGGTTTGAGCTCAGCATTTTGAGCTGCGTCATAGCGTTTTGGATAGCCATAAATTGGTAATGTGGCTTCGGACCGCATCCGATGATTAATTAACCCGATCTGACCCAACAATTACTTCAATTATTTACCTCCGGTTTACTGTTACTCTGCAATTCGATAGGTCCTTTAATTTAAATTATGAACGCTTTGATCAAATCGATAAGTAATTAATTATCCCATATCTTAAATTTTCTATTATTTTATGCCACTTCTACGTATAAGCAACATGTGTCAATAAAGATCTATCACATTACGCTAGCTATTGATGTCACTTTAACAAGTTTCAGATTTCAAATAATAGAAGATAATTATTTTGATTTAATATTCAATAAATCTTACTGTACATATATATAATAATAATAATTAAATATGCTGTTTTTTTTTTGACACAGAAAACGCTATACATGAATTTACTTTCCCCACAAAGACTAATGCAAATGAAGTCGTCGTCTGAGCAGCTAGTGTGTTTATCTCATTTCTCTAATGTTGTTAGATAAAAGCGACCTTTAATTTTGTAATTTTAAATGTAGTTTTCACTGAGTTGAAAATGATTTCTTTAAATTGTATAACTTGGAAAATATATCATAGTAATTAATTAATAATAAAATCGGTATTCGGATGGTTTATAGGTTCTTTGGAAAGTTTTAATTGAATAAATGTGTGTGATTGTTACATCTTGACCAGCCATGCTCTCAGCTGATTAATGATTATATCTACAACTATTATACATAAAATCCAACAAATTTTAAAGGAATCAAGAGTGATCTAAAACTGAATGTCTTATTGATTTTTTCCTATCGTGCCGAAAATATACAATTTTAAAAACAATGTCTACTAAGAGGCCCGCTCACTCTATATTTATCGATGAATCGATATCATCTAAGTGCACTAAAACGTTTTTAAATAGCCCTAAAGATGTTTATGTAGGTCTATATTTTATTCTGGAGTAATTTGTCTCTGGATCAGGTTAGGGCAATCACTTAGTGACCGCTTATAAACAGTGGGAGTACAGATGAATGAATTATTGAATAGTCCGCGTCTCAACAAGAATATTTGACATGGTCCTAATGTTTCGCCTTCAATTAGCTAATGTATACATAGAATGACTTCAAATATATTTAACAAAATAATAAATCGATAATTTTTAAAGTCAATAAAGTAAAAAAGTATATTGAATCCTAGCTTAGTATTTAGTTTTTAGAATTGTTAAATAAAGCAAATATTCCAACCGATGCAATGTGTAAAATACTTAAAAAACCGGAATAATGAAAAAAAATTATGTAGTCCCTATCGACCCCATTTCTCCTCAAACTCTACCTCTACACAACGATCAATACCGACAACTTAAATAAATCACCAAGTTTAAGATCGCGATATCAACATTGCTTCAAAAGCTTACTCAAATTTACTTTGATGTGGCATCATTTCAAAGGTAAACAACGCCAGTCTAATTACTGAACATAAGCTGATTACAACGCTTTTCGATTAAAACTACTACGTAATAAGCCAACTGAAGCTCTATTAATTTCTAACTCCATAATTATAGATGTCATACTATCTGTCGTGTAATAATAACTATAACATATTAAAAATAGAACAAATACTAAACAACCTCTAATTAACAATTATGCTAAATTTCCTTGATAAAATTTCAATTTATATTCGTTATTCACTTGTTAAAAATGGAAGGGTCTCTGTAAATTTAAAATACTTGCGAAATTTGTGATTTAAGTCTTTAAAGTCGAAGTTCCCAATGACATACTGGGTGTCCCACAGAGTAGCCAATCCCACTCCCTCGAGTGATATGCCGTCACTCGATGTAGCCTGTTTGACGCCATATGTGACCATCTCAATAATAAAATATTGTTAGAGCTTTTGATCTTTAACTAAATTTAAATTCTGTAATATATGTAGGAAGGTTAAAATTCCTGTAACTCTAAAAATTAAGGGGGTTGTGTCGGTATAGAGTGAATTCCCAGAGGCGACGTACAGCACAGTGCTCATCATTTCCCCATTGTCTCGTTAGACAAAAATCAAAAACAAACACTCACAAAACGGATTTTCGGTTCTAAGTTCGAATGATATGAAATGACTGTGTTGATCGCTTTGCCTGTTTGTATGATTGTGGCCAATCGTACTTTTGGGATTAAAAATTATATATCATAAAAGTTATTATCCTTCAATAATGTTAGCAGTTCAGTGAAAAGAATAAAAATATCTAATGGAATTAATGCAGTCATAAATTTCATTCCTGTAAGCTTGTTATGTTAATCTTTTCGTTATTTTGGCTTAATTTAAATTATTTCATATTGGAAACTCAGATCTGCTTACTTGTAATATTCTCTAACGTAAATCAAATACATAATTAATTTAATAATATTTGGATTATAATCAAATGGAATATGCGAACTTCTATGTTATTGTTATTTCAGGTAATCTCATGAAGATACATACTTATGTACAATATTAAATACTAACAGATGAAGTAAATTTTACATAGAAATTAATATTGAGTATTTTGCTAAACCTTGAAATGGTATAGGAAAGCATGTTTAGTAATAATATTTGCGTGTTTTCCTTAGTCCCATGTATTAAATTACTTGTGATTTCCCCGTCTTTGGATAAATGTAATTCTTTCTTCGAAGATTGCGTCTCCGCCGTGTCTCGTGTCTCCTTTACGTGATCACAATACTGAGGGCCCATGTCTTCTCTTTTATGTCTGTCATTTATTCCTTCGATACGCAAACGTCAGCATTTGACAACTACAGTTCGAATGGGAATAAATTGTTGGTGGATTTATGTGGCTAAGATTAAATTATGACTATTGACGGGAACTTTCAACCTGACTTCATATGAGAAAAGTATTACGAGATATTTTTTGTCTTTATGTGTTAAAAAATTCTATCATTTACATAGTTCAATATAGAATATTTCTGAACTGATAACAGATTAACCTGGTTTAGTAATAACAATACTATTTAAAGATTCCTTCTGTTGATACGGTAATTTTAAAGGCTATTTTCTGGGCCCTAGACAACCTAACCAACTGGTGTTAAGTTCACGGTAGAATATTTTAGTTTTAATATAACTGAACATCGGCACGCCCGACCTATTTGTCAACCTTCTTTACTTTTCCTGGCATAAAATCATACAGTCATACTTGACAATGACTTATCAACTCCGTTTAACAGAAATACATGCAATCGAAAACGATCTTTTTGATACAATAGCTAAGATATAAATTTAAAAGCAATTTTGTTCCGTGTCTCACCAAATACAAAATCCCTTAAGATATCCACATAGAATTTAAGCACATTCCCTTAAAGCAATAAAGGTGCGTTTTACTCGTACGGCCAGAGATTATATTTGGGATTTGGGTAGCAAAACACGTAGGTGAACCATCGCTCATGTGACAAATTTCTACGTTTGCCTTAACGCGGGATACCGTGTTTAGAATATGATATCTGATGTAGGGTGAAAGGGAATTCAGATTGATTAACATACTGAAGCTGAAATTTGATTAAACTTTTATTATTTTAATTAGTCATAACTTGCTTATTAAATCGAAATTATGTAATTCTGTAATTGTCAATGAACATTCGTTATGTTTACGGAGAGATTACTATAGATACTATTACTACCCTCTTTGAAGATAGACGTTCTGTGACAGGTTTCCCTTCGGGGTACTTGTTTGCCGGTTCGTTTGTGTGGCTTCACGTGATCTAAACTGTAGTTTTTTTCAAGGCGCGTAACGAAGTGCTAGTAATACGTGCGGAAATCAGCATTCGCATTTATTCTTGGAATGTTGTCGTCGATCCTTTTCTGTGAGGGTTACACCTTATACGTAGACGTGATTTCGCTGTGAAAGCAACTCGACAATTGTATATTTATGAGTTTACTATATTGGTGAATTGAATTTTGTCGTAATTTAATTTTGTGTAGGCAAAGTTGCTGTATCATGACACTGGAAATGAAGGTTAATATAATAACACACTACAAAAGTGTCGTGTTGTATTTTGATAATTTTATCTATGTATTTTTATACCTTAAAGTTAGATATTATAACATGTTTAATAAAAAGTATGTTTAATTTCAAAAGTATAGAATATTTCCATAAGTATTTATTTCAACTCAACGTAATATTGTTTTAGTTCTTAAAAATGATATTGGGTTGGAATAAAATATTTTACAAACATTCAAATATTTTTTAATTTAATATTATCTGGGTTTCAGGCTTACATAATGAAAAAAGTCATTAACTGTGCAAAAATATTATGAATATATTAAAATCGACCGGTCACCAGTTATCATCGCGGATGTCCTCGTGGGTGGTTATCAAATTCCTTATCAGTAACAAAAGGAAACAGACAATATTTTTATTTATGTTATTCCCCAACACCTACGTAAAATATTACTGAATTCTAGAGTATCCCGTTTTAGATTGCAAATATAATTTGTACATTGTGCAATAAAAAGTTCTCTTAATTTAATATTTAAATTTTATTAAAAAACATATTTTAATCAATTTTAGTTATTTCACATCGTGTCTCTCCTAAAAACTATATTTTTCTACATTTTGTAAGTAAATTTGTACGATATTTTAGCATTTCTCATAAAATTGCTTAATTTATAGTGAAACTGATATGCAGTAAATATAAATATCAACTTCTATGAAACATTTATTGAGCAGTAAAATAAGTAGAACAAGTACTCGTACTTAAAGCTTACTGGGAATAAAAGATAAATATACTTGAAATGTTTAGTTTATATTTAAAAGTTCTTTCGTCTCTAGAGCACTTTTAACATTGTTTGGGATTTATGCATTCCTGTTTGTTCTTTGTTAGTGTCATACGATTAAACTTGATTATAGTAAATATCTTGAACTAACCTTCTTTTTTGAAACAATTCTATTCGAGATCGGTTACGAAATTTATTTCTGATCCACAAGGCATATCTGGCGTATGATTACTCCGTTAAGTGCTTCAAAAATGCCAGTATTATCAATTAAATGTTAATTATAATAATGCTACCAGAGTTTCAAAACATATTACAATTTCGCTATTCATTAATCTGTATACTTATGCAGTGACACTTTAACACGGGTAATTCTTTTAATTGTGTTTTCGCTAAATATCAATCTACTGTGTTTTAATATTACATCTCGCACTTAGCTTGAAGAAAATATCTATGACACATAAAGCTTTTCTTAACAATTGACCTTTTCATATGCTTTTTTTCCGATTTATCTAAAAACTTCAGGATGTATCTAAACTATTCACCTGCTAATTAAATAAATTGTTTATAATAAAAAAATTTTTTTTTTCCTGACTGCTTGCCAATAAACGAACATTGGAACTAGTATTATAATATTATTTACTTTACGGCAAGAAACTGCTCTACTTGAATTATGTTTATAAAGTTACAAGACTTGATATATAATTCATGGAAATTTCCATCCTAAACAATATTGTGTATTAATTCATAAAATGAAAGTAAAATAAGTAACACTTGAAGCTATGCCTTGTTTACATAGAAATCGCAGTTCGTTTTATACTCTTTGTCATTCGCCGAAGCCTTATTAGTCTTGTTTCAACCTGTTTTTTCTATTTACATTCTTATTAAATGGCTTCATTATCGTTTTTCATCTTCCTTAAAATAAGGATATTCAGAGATATAAGCAATAATAAATTTGATGTTCCTATAGGAGTAAACAGTGATTGTTAGTAAAAAACTGTACAATTGAATCAAGGCACATGGCTAAAAAAAGAACTGTTAAGAAAATGGATATTAAAAAATATTCCCCTGAATAGATGTATATTTTTCAGCGACATAATCGCTGTAAGAAAGAAATCGAATGAACAAAGTTGGATGACAGAATAATATAAATGGAAGCATGGGAAAATGGGTTTCGAGTATGAAGCTTAGAAGGTTGTTTTTGTTGTCCTTTTATTGTTATCTTCTTACTATCTATCGCTTGTTTTCCGTTTGATGTTGTTTTCGTTCCGTATTAAGTGTCACTGTTTTCATGTAGCGTCTATTTTGTATTGATATTACATAAAAGGACATGTTTTCCTTCATTCGCAATTGATGTTAAAGCTAAGGCCGAGTACGACTTTAAGATATTAAAAATGGTTTTGTCTGCCAGTATATGTTTAAATATGTTGGTTATAGTAAAAGGCGTGCAAATAATAATAAACAATTTCTTCCTACAGGCCTGGGCCGGCTACATCCGTACGGCTCGGGCAGCGGTTCCAGCAGCGGTAGCGGCCGGCGTCGCACGCGCCGTGGCCTGTCCGACTCGCCGACCGCACCCACTACTCCTACTTCGGCCTCCGATAACGCTTCTGACGCAACTCTCACAGATTCCGAGTTGCCGCTCGCAAGAGATTCCACGCTATTAGTGCATAACGGTTAGTACATTTATTAATATTATTAAAGTTATAAGCTACATAAAGATTAAGAAACTTACATCATATATAAAAACAGACGGTTTCAAGGAAACTATTAATTAATTGTAAATAAACAATGGGCTATACAAATAGCTAATTTTAATTACTTAGAAAGCCTTATCGCACTAGTTACTTAAGTTACCGGTCGAAGAAAAGTTCTTGGAGGTAGGGTACCCTAAATTAAAGATTAAACACCACTTCCATTATACCTCGACAAATTATCTTGAAATTCGGGAGAACCAAAACATTGCCCAAATAAATTCTGGTCAAACAAAGGGTTAGTCAGAACCGACCACGGTACGACAACCGTCGTACTAAACGACAAATAAAAGCTACGATAGTTTAAATTGGGACCCAAAAACTGTATGTAAACAAACAGGGTCTCGAATTTCTATGAAAGTTTTTGGACTACCGGGAAAACATCAACAATATACGGCGGGATCGAAAATGTTCGCTTGTAATATTTGCCTTACAAATTGTGAGTCTCGTTTACCTTCTGTAATGTTACTCTATAACATAATAAATCCGTGGTTGTTCGGTTATTTGCAACCATTGCTGAAACCAATTTTCCTATTATCACACTAATAGTCTTTAGGTCTATAGCAAGCCTATTCTCTCGCTCCTTATTCATGGGCTTGCACGGCATTTGTGAGCACATTGTGTTTAATTAGGTCAATCTCTACTATCGTTCTAAAAATCATTACACCCATTATGTTCTTCATGTTTTGTGAAGTAAGATTTAGGCCGCCCCTTGTGGTGCACAATGATCCACTAATTCTATCAATACGAGAGCGCATCGCATGAATTTCAATTTAATTGCATTCAATGAAATCTCATGCGATTATAGAATTCAACGTTAGGCAAATTAAAAGCAAGACTCCGCTGGATTCCCCATTCAATTTTTATGGAGGACGACACGATAAAAATCCATTACGTAAGCACTCCGAGGCCTCTATGTCACCGTTGCTTTTGAAAATTGAAAAAAGCTATTTATTTTGCTGGAAAAGACAAGTTTTTTTATATGTATACGGTATATAATTTCAAATATTTGATGTCCTGGCAAGCATATTTATTGATTAAAAAAAAGTGTGAATATTGTTGATTATAGGCTCTCATAGCACGTGCTTAATTTGAATCTTTTAAACTTAAAGAAAAACACAAATAAATTGTTTTCTAACATATTTACTAGCTACACTAAGACAGAATGGAAGTAAGTGTATAGGTACATATACACAGAAATAACAATAGAAGCTGAAAACCATCCTCTTTTAAAAATATTGACAATAAAAAGGACATATAATTTTTTAAGTATTTTAGTATCCAGGTTTTTAACATAATGCAATTCACTAGCAATCAGATGCTTTATTTTGCATTCCCGCAAATACTTTTACCACCGTGTTCCTAGTGAATCGATGCAGGACTCCTCGATGGTATCACTTGCTCTGATATCAAGCGTTTTAATTTTGTACTTTTTGTACTTACATTTTAAAACGCCTTTGATTAGAAAAAGCCCTTTAAAGTCTTATTAAAAAAACCGGTAGAATAAAAGAAATATTCTGTTAATAGATATATTTTTAGTCATGAAATCGTAATTCAATTGGGTATTCTGAAGAATACAAAAGTGTTATAATTTAATACCAATCGATTTTACTTAAAAACGTAATTTAAACAGTATATTACAAAACTTTTTTAAATATCTTGATAAATATATTTTTTTTACATTCTTACAATTTTCTATTGAAATTCATTAAAATACTTAGTTTTATTTAAATTATATTAAGAGCATGATGATAACAATAAAAAAAATTAAAAGATTTCTAAATTTTATTATATATCAAATTAATAAAAGTAATAAAATAAACACCATCAAAATGTTGGGCAATATGTTATTCAGTAGCACTGATATTTTTAAACCGTGGTATTTCTGAGGCGCGACAAGTGTCCTCCTTAATTATGTCCATTAAATGCACGATGAACCGTCAAACGATATATGCATTCATTATTTATAACTTCAAATCCATCTCTTTCATTTCAATTACAACAGGCAGAGATGGAGGAACGTCTACATTGTACTGTGCCGGAAATTCGTTAAATGGAAGCAGGTCATTAAGTTTTAATGTGTATCTACATAATTAATATCATTTTAATATTCCACATGCCAGAGAGTTTAGTTTGACAGTTTTAACAGGAATACAGGTTGAAAAGTTAAAATGTAGTATTAATTGATTAACACAAATACTTTATTGTTTTATAAGACATAATCCGTATCTTTTAATGTTGAATTTTTATGCTTGTAAAAATGTCTTTTTCATAATAAGATTATACACAAAGGTTCGAGAGGACTTTAGATAGTGATAAAAAAAGCGTAGTAAAATACAGTATCGTCAGCTAAATAGTGAAGTAATTTTGAACAAACTTTGAGTTAAAAAAGTTATATCGAAACATTTTGTTCATAAAAATATTAAATAAAAGATTAAAACTAAATTTACTTTAAGAAAAGTCTCTATAATAATATAATTGGTATTAAAAACGAGTAATTAATTATTTAAAAACTTCACTGCTTTGAACTGTGATTATATTTTTACCTTTTTCCATATTTGGATCTTTATTAAATTGGACGAAAGCTTTATTTTGTTATTGTGATATTTAAAGTTTTAAATATATTAATAAAATAAATAAAAATAATGTTACTGGCTTTCTGTATATAACAATCATATATAAGTTTCATAATTTTCATAGTAAAGTATTCAAGCTTGTTCTATTATTATTTAATGCTTAACAAATGAACATATTTTTATATCCTCTTTCCGTATCACCACATTTCCGAGGGAATATGACATCATTAGTGGTAACGCACTCTTCATCTCCTTTACTATTTCGCACTCGGCAATTGCGGATTTAAGGTATTCATCCATCAAGGGAATTCTGTGAAATTCGTTTTCTCAAAGCGCCCCTTAATCCCCAAGACGAATATCTCAAAGTTACGAACGTAGCAAAATAATCGCGAGCTTGTGATGAGGGAAAAAAATGTATAATTCTTTTCTTAATCCAAAGCAGTTCGGGGCTTCGAGTAACAAATTTAGCATTAGCTGTGACGGATACGTTTTATTTTTATGCTCACTGTGACGTTGAATAAGTGAACATTACTTTGCGAGTTCTTTACCGATACATATATCCAAAATAAAAAAGCATTACTTCAGGACATATTCAAAGACATTTCTAGTTTAATTTTAACAAAAACAAAGATGTATGTATGATGTATAAATTAATGAAATTACTTAAATTACGAGTATGTATCATATTATTTCAAATATTGTTAGCGATTTCCCTTCCGTACTATTTTACATAATGAGATCTAAGACCTTCACGAGTATTGATTTAAATGAAACTAATATACATCTACATAAAACCGTGATCATGGTTGCTGAAAAGTGAGCGAAACGTTGGGAGTATATATTTTTTAAAGTAATTGAATACGCGTAGTATAATCCGCAAAATAAAAGTTCCATAAATTTCAAATAGTCTAGTTACAAATAACGTCTACTAATTCCAAATATAAAGTATCATAAAAAATTTGGACTCAAATTCTGCAATTCTAGCCTTTTAAGACATTTCTCAAAATCTTGTCATATATTGTTCGTTATTTATACCAATACCTTTATGCGACAGTATTGGATACAAAGCCAGGACCTGCTTAGTTTGCTTGAAAGCACAAAGGAGTTTCCATCAGTACTCGGCAAACCCGAAAAAGTACCGGGCCCTTTGAGACCCAATCCTTTAATACTAATTGAATCATAATTTCGAAGACGGAAAGTTTCTTTTTATGTAAATCTTTTGCCAAACTCAAAGAGCCGAGAAATGGAAGCGAAATAATCTCAAATTTTGAAAGTCCAACCATGGAAAGAGGACCGTGTAATCGGGATTAAAATTTATTACGTTTTCTATGCCTCTTCGTATTGCCCTTTGCTAAATTATATCGATATTTTATTTAGTTTTACGACTTTTTCCTTTTATATTTAATAATAATCTGAAACATAGAATTGATATTTTTACATATTCGTCGATATATATGATTTAATTTGTACTTTTATTCAATTATTTTTTCTTTTTATGTAAACAAAAATAATTATGTACTAGGACGGATGAATGCTTGTTTGTTCTCCTTACCAGAATAAACTTGAAAAAATTTACAGAAAAAATAGAGGTAGAAAGAGTAATGTCACATATAGTAGATTATTATAGGCAAATCGTTACAGTTATATATAATCGCCGATAAATCTGTCGGAGATGATGTTCGTTTTAAAAATGTCAATAACTCAAAGTTATAGGCATTGTTTCAGCCACCTGTAACACAGGTATCATCTCCACATTACCCCTGTGTCGCGAAATCAAAATACAATTTCATCTACGACACGACAAGAAGATAAATCTCCCAGACAATTTCCGAAATTTTTCTATCGCCAAGATTTACACAGTGAGAGCATCCTCAAGAAAATCGCACCTTCAATCCACTTATCGATCCCTATTTCAGTACAATTTGCACGGTGCACGGGCAAGCGTTGGCAATTTTGAAACTTAAATGAAAATAACTACGTCGGCAGTGGGGCGAGGGTTTTTACTTTCAGCAGCGTCTTTGGCAACTTGTCGATAGTTTGCGCTCGCTCGGCGTCGCTCGCAGCCGCCGCACTAACCGTCTTTGTTTCAACATTTTCCTTTAATAAGTTCGCTTTGCTTGATTTTTGTCAACGAATTTCGTCTTGTTTTGTTTATGCTTCTAATTATTTTGCCTTTGCAGGAAAATGTTTTGGTTACTTAAATAAGCAAACAACTTTTGTCTTCTGTTCAAAATTAAAAAATACTGTAATTTCATTTTATGGTTTATCACATTTTATCAAATATGGTAATTTTATTGGCTACAATCTATACATATTATAATAAAATTGTAGAAACGTGCTGTCTGTACATT